GTCGAATTCGGAGGATCCCCAGAAGGGTCAGATCCACGCAGCGACTCTGCTGAGCTTGGGCGGTACAGGCAGGGATAGGGAGAAGTTGCCCGCAGAGGATTTATCGAGACATTATTCGGTGAGTGTTCGTCAACTTTCTCCTTACCTATTTTGAGGTCGAATTGGATTCTGGTGAATTCAAGTTGGAATGGGCTTTGTAGTGTTGGTGCTGGTGGATTGTAGTGAATGAGCTTACTTAAATTAAGGGCTTTTGGTCGTGCCTATAAGCAATTTTGAATTTCTGGTAATTAGAGCAAGTTACCATGGAATTGTGTAAGTATGGCCATTCAGATATATATACCATTATATTTTCGATCCCTTTCTCTACCCATTAATTCATTATCTTTCCAAGTTTTTCAAAACCCAGTGACCCCCCTCTTTCCCAAGAAAGCTAGTGACCAACCCAATCAAGAAACTTGATTTCCAAATCCCTGGTGATTTCTCCTAAAATGTCATTCTCGACTTCAATAGGATACTCTCCAGTAGGGCTAGGTAGTAAAGAGTTTCTTCTATACCAGGCTATTCAGGTTTAACTTTCTTACTCTCCACAGTGGTGTAGGTCATGAAAAACAATTATCTTTCCTTTTTTAAAGATCTTTTGCGAAAGAAGTCGAAAACAGCTTGAAACAGGAATCCTTCATCTATATATAAGTATATGAATATAGAATAATGAGACAAACAAAAGTTACAGACTACTCTCTTTGCCAAAGATTTGTGTTTAAGCTAAATAACACATTAAAGAAAATAACATGAGATATATTTTATACATACTTGAAAGAGTGCCGATTACAAAGGATTTGAGCTGAGTACAACCTTTGAACCTTTCCTGGACTCTCTCTCTTTCTACCTTCTCTATTTGCTATTCTCCAAAACCCCGTTTCTTCTACTTCTACGAAAGCCTATTTAAAGAAAAACATACCAACTAACCTGGGTTACAAAGTAACTGCAGTAAAAGTAACCCTAGTTACATAAAACTAACTATGATTAACTAACCCTAGGGTTATTTACAGAGGTAACTAAAGTCAGTCATCTTTATCTTTTGGGAAAGATAAAAAGTAACCGGCTTTGCGGAACATGTCTCACGACAGTCACTTTGGAGTGAGGCATGCCTGTTCCTTTGTCTGACTTATTATCCCTCCATTTGGTTTTCGAGATTTTCCCACCCAACAGAGTTAAGATCATCATAAAAGGCTATATCCTCTGGATCATCTGGGTCATCATTGGGAAGGTCGTCACCCAAATCGACTCCAGCACCTCGATATTCGTATTGATCTTCACCATTTTTATATTCCTCAGAGTAAATATCTAGTAGTTGAGTGTAGCTTGTCTAAGGCGAGAAGGAAATCTCTCTTTGACTCTGGCTCTGAATAAACACATCAGGATCAAGATAAATTTTCTGAATATTATCCTTAGTAAAGAGGGTGTATCCAGCTGAAAAATCATCTCCCATGACCTGCATGTGGGCCATTGTTCTAGCTCTCCAGTGTCTGAGTTGTTTTGTGAGGGACTGAGTAGTGGATGGCCAGGCCTGAACATCTCTGTAGAGAGGCGGTAAACTGCTCCTTCTTCTTAAAATAATTTTGTGTTGTGCCGGAAGCAAATGTCTACCCTTCCACTCTGGGGCCTTGCTCTGAATCAATGCCTCAACATAGTTGGGAGGCATGCTTTCTAAGACAACTATGGCTAACTTTCTTCCAACAAGATCAGTATCCGCCATTTTTGTAAAAATTAATTGATAGAGAAAACCATAATCAAGGAGTAACTGTGGAGTTAACTCAATGATTTCCCCTTCATATAAAAACTGAATGGGTTCATAGGAGGATAGATCTAGAGAAACTCTGCAAATGCTATAGACGAGTTGACATTGACAGTCATATCTATCAAGTGGAATCCCATCTGCTGTTTCTCCTTCACACCTATTACACCTTTTGAGTTTTCCTTCTGTAGTAGAATAATAGGCGTCCCATGAGAAGCCTATACTAAATCGGTTAATACCATCTTCGGCTATCTGTTGAAGGAATTGTTGAATTGCCTTCAATTTAGCATGGCCTGAAGCTTCTGCTTTCTGAAAAATTAGTTGTCTTGAATCATCTGGCAGCTCGGGTAAGGGAACTTGTGGATTGAAATACATCCTGAGTTGCCTCTGAGTGTCATCCACTAATGGAATAGATGTAGAAGTTGAGGAGGATCCTTCAATTAAATATTGATTAATTCCCAGTGGGGGAACTAATTGTCTTCCACCCGCCAGTGGGGCTAAGGTGGTCTTCACGATTTCTCCTGAAGGTTCCTGCAAATCTGGAGAAAGATGAGGGCTAATGAAAAAGCTATCTCCAAGCTGCTGTTGAGCAAATTGGATAGTTTCTTCAATTAGATAAAACCCTTTATAGAGTGGTTTTCTAAAATCTCGTATTTGGAACAAGATCTCATCCCACTTTTTATAAACTCCAGGGGTTTTTCCCTTGATTAGAACACAATAATTAAATTTATTATATTTTTTCAAATATTGGGCTAAAGTTTTTAAATTGTTCTCAAAAAGGTTCAAATTGCTGAAGCTCTCCTGAATGTTGTTCAGAAGTTGATCAGCAACTGGATCCAAATTGAGACCTTCTGTACAGGACCTAGCTCTAGAGGTGTTGCCTCTATCGCTGGCTTTGCCTGAAGTCGAGCGTCTCATTCTGATCCTGCACAAGAGAAGAATAAACATATCTACTTAGCCAGTCAACAAGATAATTATCTTTACTTTTAATATGTTCAAATTTTACTTTAAAACCATTTCCAGTTATGATATTTACAAAATTCATTCATCTTTTAGAAGAAAGACTTTTTTCATTTTTCTTTTGAAAATATTTTACAATTGCCTCACAGTCTGTTCTAATTGTAAAAACATCATTTTGGATGAAAAGTCTAAAAGAATTTAAAGCATTTATTACTCCTAATATTTCAAAATCAAGAGAGGTTAAAGAATTTTTACTTTCTCTGTATAAACCACTAGAATATCTACAAATCTTTTCTTCCTTCTGAGATGAGAATTCTTTAGGTCTGACTATCAGAATTGCTCCCCATCCTTCACTACTACTATCAGTTTCGACTATTTTGTAGTCTGATTCCAATGGTAGAGTTAGAGAGGGTAACTTTTTGACTTCATCTTTTATTCTTTTTACAAGTCTGACCTCCTCACTATTGAAAAACTTTTGTCCTTTGGGACTAAGTTTTGCATATAATGGTCCAGTCAGTTTAGATAGATCCTTTATATACATTCGGGCATAATTGAGTATACCCAAGAATTTTTGAAGTTCTTTAGT